CCTTCTTCGTCCTTCGATTCTCGGATGTTGTTATTGAGTTAAAGCTGGAGTGACTTCCGTTCGCATAACTACTTCTCTTGTTAATGCAAGCAGTTAATTTAGCTTGAGCTTGCTTGCCAAGTTATCACCAATCCAATACTGTGCCAAGGTAGTCTTCCTCCCACTTGCTAGTACTCGAGATTGGCACAATATATGCACCGCTGTCTCCTTTTCTTCTAAACATAGTCTAAAAGTTTCTTCCTCAGCAAGCGTTATCTTTTTGAGGTGATACTTGAAGTTTCGTATCCAGTAATTAGTAAGGTCAGCCAGCTTAGGATGCTACGCGGATAGCTAAGCACATTTATCGCTTTCCTGACCAACGGTTTCTGCATGATGAGTATAGTGTGTCTACAAGTGCTCATCTCTTTCCATCTGTTAAGATGAAGTGAAGTAATCCACTTATAGACATATGCTGCATCCATTGATGAATGGGCAGAAAAACAGATAATATTATACAGTATTGCTTAATCGGTTTTTCTTGTTATTCTGATAATCATTATCTTCACAAACTTAGTACACACCGAAGGCGAAGTTGTCTTATTATATAAAGTCAAAGATAGTAAAACAGTGCAAAATTAATGCTTGATTTCATTTCTTTAAATTTTCCGTACTATTAAATTAACACTTATGACATATCAATTATAGTACCAGAAGATAATATAATCATTTTTAAGCACTTCGAAGTCTTTGTTATACTATGTAGAGGTTTAGTGAGATGGTAACTGCAAGTTCTTTCGGCTGTCTATCAATTAAATATCATTGAATTGTATTTCATAGTAGTATAGTATAGAAAATGTATAGAATATGTTTATAAACTTGTATTTTAATACTTCAGTAAATACGATAAGAACACCTGCTTGCCAAATATATTGAGAGGATCTATTAAATCAATTTATATGTTAATTTTTTCATAAACCCTGTTCTGCCTCATATCAAAAGTATACTTATTAGTCGTTTTAAATTTCTTATTTATTTCACACCTAATATTTCAAATTTCATATAAAAACATATAATTAATCAAATAAAATATAATTGCGTTTTAAATAATTTAATTAATTTCGTTAAATGATTTTCACATTAATATGCATAATTACACGGCTTACTTATGTGGCCGATAAAATCCGAAATATTGCCCCTTTTCATAGCATATTTAACTGCAATTAACAAATTGCATCGAACTGGGTGTGTCAATCTCGTTGTTGAACTCTATTAGGTACAAATAACTGCATCGAGATCTGATCGGTTTTATCGCTGCGAGATTTGTATGAGTACTCGCCGACATGCAAAATAGAGCAGGCAAGGAAAATGGAGGCATAAATCAACTTAACTGTTTCTGCTTCGTTTTGATTACCATTGACAGTGCAGTCATGACGAGATAACGGTCGTTTGATACGCTGAATTTGCATCCACAAACATAAAAATTGACATTTGATTTTGAGTCGTAGTAGAGAAGTATTGACGCTAGCTAAGCGTGGTGTATGGACTGAGCTCAAGCTCAGCTCAATTTATGGCTTTCTGCCGGTTGGAGGTGTTTGACGTTGAGTTCCAGCTTGACGTTCTGCACACGAGTTTCTCGTTAAAAAAAATGCTGGGCGTGCTGTGTCAACGTAATAATTTTTTATACTAAACTTATATTTATATATATATATTTACATATATATATATGTTTCTTTTTTTTTATAAAAAATGTTGCAAATAATAATTTTAATGGAAGGTTATTATTTTCTAACATGTCACTCCCTTCAGGTGAGCGTATATGTCAATTTAAGAAGAAAACAACAATTTTTTTTTTAATTTTTTTTATTTTATTTTTATTATATTGAAAATAAAAAATTTAAATAATATACAAAACAATTACATAAATTTCTTTTATTCAGTAAAACTATTTAATATATAAATGAGTAACGAATTTTGTAAAATGTAAAAGAAAAATTATACACAAGATTAAAATCTAAATAAGATACAAATGCCAAGAGCTTAAGAGTTGTGGAATATATTTTTTTTAAACAAAAAAAGTAATATATAAAAAATAAAAATAATTACTTTCTTTTTGAAAAACTTACTTAATCTCTAAATAAACGAATTTTGTGTAATTTTCAATAAATTTCTTATAAACAAATTTTAGTACAAAATGCATTTTTATTTGTTTGTTCTCATAATTTACAAAATGAATTTTCACTAAATTTATTTAATTATTTTTATTATTAAATTTTGAGATTTATTGAACTTTTTTATGAAAATTTGTCATGTAAATGTTAAAATGGATATGAGTTCATATATGTAATTGAGTATATTTTCTTTAGAAACAGAAATTTGATTTCTATACAATCTGGCTATAGACAATGATCAGGGACTTTGTAAACAGAAAGGCTTTTGGCTTAGGGATTAAAAGCCTCAAGGATTAGATTATTTTAATTTTTGTTATTGTAAATGGATAAAGTTGTTATATTTCAGAAATGGGTTTTTTTATATTGTATATAAAACAACCTTTGTTACTTGCATAAGCACACAACTTTAACTTTAAGAACCAATCTATTTTATTCAAAGGAAGTTAAAAATTTCTTCTTCTAATATGGAACGTAATATACTTCATTCTATGTATTCCAATGTGGTACCTGAGTATATTTCATGTGAAGAAACTGCTGTGTTAATGTAAGGTAATGAATTTGAGGGGTTTGTCATGAAGTTTCTAGAAATAAACAATATTACTACACTCTATACTTTAATTGTGCAGTAGATACAGATGTAAGGTTTACTATTTGAATATTGGAAGGCAATGTTGGGATGTATTTTTGTGTAAAGTAGTGTGAAGTATGAAATAGAGTTATAAAATAAGTACAGTGTATTAGCATAAAGATTTCCTAAAGAAGTCTTGTTAGGAAGTTGTAAAGATGAAGAAGTAGTGTATATTAAAACTAACTAAAAGTCAAACATTTTAGTAGATAGAATTACAAAGTTTTCATCTTTCAAAGAAGATCGAAGCTCGCAATTGAATGAATGCTGAATAAGCAAGTGCATAATGAAAAACAATACGGTGTATACAATATATATAATAGTTTTGAAGAAAAGTTTAAGACAAAAATATTATGAGTGAATGCAAATTATTAGAATATTTATCATCTTAAAGGTAAAGGTTACGTTTTGCTACAAATATAGTAAGACTTAATTTGCATAAGTATACGAAAAAGTAGTTATCACATAGCTTTAATAAGATTATGTCAGCTTAATTAAATCAGGTCGTCGACATTCAGAGACGACTCTCGATACACTTAGGTGAAATTGGTCCGTTGTTATACTACATAATCCCAAAATTAATCAACCTTCTTTCAATCATTGTGTTCATATAACAAACCTTAGTAGCTATAATGAAAAAAGGTTGGGTGCCTATAAATGTCCTATAGGATGTTGACAGTCCAATATTGTGATTAATAAAAGAGTTAAATGTGACGTGATAATGAAGATGGACTTTGACTTTGTGGAATTTTGACTAAATTAAACATTTGAAATAAATCATATATGATTAAAAGTAATGAAAATATTTTTGAGTGATATTTTAGAACATTAAATTCAGTAAAAGAGTACAAGGTAAGTGGAATGTGAAATTTATAAATACTAATTCATTTCAAATTGGATGAACATAAAGAGAAGACGCTGAATATCAGTATATGAGCACAGCTAGTTTAAGAAAGATATATTCTGACAACCCCAATATAATTACTTTAAAAAATGATCAATTGTAACGAAAATGCAATAGGATGTCTCCTAACAATTTCAATTTTTAAATAAAAAAATTAGATCAATAAATATATTGGTATATATAAAATTAAGATAGAAGTTAGTGCTTTTGATTTGTTGGAAGAAAAAGATTATTGAAAGTGAACTAGAAAAACCAAAAGTTAAAATTCTGATTTGTTGTATCTTTACGGAAACTATGAAGGAAGGTTCAAATCATAGAGTGTTATGACGCTTTAAAAGAAGAAGAATTAAAATATATTTTAAGTAACTGCTATTGTTTCTAGTGGTTAGTCACATAGAGACTAAGTGATAATTTTAAAGATAGAAATGATGTAAGTAAAATAAAGACATTGAAGCAGTACTAAATCCGGTACTTTTTAATCTGACTTTTTAATTTAATTGAACTAAACAACGAAACTTACCATTGTTACTCAATTGTCTAGGATATCCTATAGAGGTTTAGAACTGTATTTTAATACGAGATTAAATATATCTTTATTATTCTAAAACAGCTTCATAAATATAAATACCTTTAATATTCAGTATCTGCTGTCTTACTGTATATGTGTGAGTTTTTTTATGTACTATCTAGGTTGATTTAAATCATTTAGATGAATATGTAAGATATAGATATATAACGTACTACCTTTGAAGGAGTTTATTTAGAACTTTAATGAAAACTCGCTGGCTGTAATTGCAATGTTACGAATGTAAAGCGATAGAACATCGATAATATTTAGTGAAATAAAAGTGATACAACATACAAAAACAACGTGTATATTGTATATGAGATACTTGAAATAAGAATGATAAAGACTTATGTTAATTAAACAATAGTAATTTGGTTAAGGTCATGGATATAATATATTCAGATGAAAGCATTAAAAAATTCTAATTAATCTGTTTAATTGGAACTATTTATATATAATATATGTAGAATTTTGCAAAGGAATACCCTTTTGTAAATACACTACTCAAGACCTCCATAGTAAGAGAATCGATTATTATACATTATTCATATTATGAAATACAATATTTACTCAAAAGGAACTGTGTGATTCAACGATGAAAACTACATACTCAGGTACCAGGAAATCTGTGCATATCTAACTATTGTTTGTATCGGTTTACTGGATGCGATGTCCAATGAAGTGAATTTTATTTAATTTAATGAATATTTAACTTAACTTAATGGAAACATAAACTAAATAAAACTTAAACAAACAATTTTTTACATTTAACTCAGAGCCAACAATGGCTCATAATCTAAATCTTTCGGAGCCGCTTTCTTTTTGTATTTTTTCTGAACTTTTGTTTTGGCCAATTTTGATTTGGATTTACTTGTGCGATTTTTCTTTTCTTCCAATTCTTTTTCACGATCCAATTGTTCCAGTTGCTCAAATATATTTTTGGGTCGCTTATGTGTGCTGGGATTTGTGGAGTTTTTGGCTGCATACACAACAACAAACTGTGAGAAGGCAGAGTCGGCGGGTGTATTGATGTCAGCGAAGTCGCGGAAGTTGGCAAATTGTTCTTCAGGATAAGTGTACTTTTCAATGAAGCCTTCAGTTGATGGACGGCCATGGCCGTTATTAGAATCACCATAAAATTGATTGAAATCACTGTTGTCATCTGGATGATAGGGCATTTCTTCTTCTGGATAGAATGTGCCACCACGCAGAACACCAAAATCGCCCGAACCTAAAAGGGCAGTATCGAAACTACGTTGTGGTGCTGATGTTAGAGATTCTGGATGAGGAGCAGCATATTTAGGTACAACTGGGACATCGGGTAGAGGGAAGTATGGTCTTGAGTGACCTAGCGGTGGTATTTCACGGAAAAATGGTGGATAGTAGTTTTGAGCTGCTTGTGTGTGTGAGTCAATTGGAGCAGCATCGGAACGTGGTGAAATTTGTGTATTTATAATGGGACGAAATTCATGTGTTGGTGGCACATGATAAGAATGTTCATGTGAGCGTAGCACTGTGATGGGCGTGTAATCATTTGGCTCCATCAGCATATCTGAATCCTCTTCAGGGAATTCATCTGAAAATTGTGAAAAAAATACATTAATTTTATAAATGTTATTATATGTGTTTCTTGTTAAAAGAGATAACTTAAGATTTAACCAAAATAAATAAAATTTTATGTTAAAGGAAAAAATGAAGTAGCCGGTCGGTAGTCAGTTGACTCGCGGCTAAAGCGGAAAGTATACTTCATTTAAAGTTGATACAAAGTATTTAAAAGGAAAAATTTACACGTTTTTTGCAAGTCATAATTGCGGACTTTAAAACTGTAGTTGTTGTGTATTTAATGCTCAACATAAAAACTAATGAAACGATAAATCCAAAGTTATTAAAACGAGTAAGCAAATAAAAAGGCATGAAATGCTCTAAACTTAAAGTGCACGAACTTCTCAAGTTGTAAAATTTGTATCTGTAGATTTCCGCAAACTATTTTCAAGTTTATTTAATGTTTCATTGGTATGAAGTTGTTTCTACAGATACGTTACCCGTATGTTGCGCCGATACGTGTATACCACAGGAGGTAACTTAAGTCGCGAACTGAAATGAATTTACAAATTATTATAAATATCGTACATGAACTTCAAGTGTGTTGCCACTTATTCAAGTTTGGTTCAATAAGTTGTACGGCCAAAAGGAAAATAAAAATGCACGAACGTTCAAACAGATCCGGAAAAATGTGTTGAAGAAGCGTTCAATATAAACTTTCACTGGAAACGATTGTGTTCGTTGCTGTTGGCTAAAAGTGATTTCGAAGATGAGGTAAAAATAAGTTTTTAGCAAACAAGTTAACACAACCAAACTAAATCAATGATTTCTTTTGATACATAATATTTTATTAAATAAAAAGAGCTACTTCAGTGCACAATATTGGTGATGTTTTTGAATAGTCTCAAGGCTTGCCTGCAGCCTGTTCAGAAGAAAGTGCAATTTTTGGCTGCAAGTGCACCTTAACCTACAATTTGTGATGCAATCAAGAGATGTTAACCGAAACAACTTTTTTTTTTTATATAAGCTAAATATTATCACAGTTGCACATTAATGTGTAAATAATGGTTATCTGTAGTACCTGAGTTAAATTTCCAGTGTAAAATGTAGTTGCTGTTTGTTTTCAATAATTATGTATGTATAATTACTTTGTACTTAACATACTTATTTGATATATAAATATATATACTATATTATTTTTTAACTTAAAATAACACTATTATATAAATATGTTAATATTAAAGTACTTATTTAAAATATACCACGATCAGCATTGGGTATCTCAAGCATTAGTCGATTAATTATATGAGTTCCAGTTCAGATTATCAAATGAAATTGCTTTGTGTAAATCTTTTATGTTTAATATTTCTACTCAATCGATTTTCATCTACGATATTGCTCTTACTTTTTGCTATATATATATATTACGTGAAATTTCGTTTAACATGTTATTAAAAATGGATTTTAAGCACTTAGTACAGCCATTCTATAAGTTATCTATTTTTTTTATAAGTCGATAAAATAAATTGATTTATTTATTATTTAACTAATTAGAATTGTCAAATATATATAAGTAATGAAAAGTAATGGTATCGTTCTTGATAAATGCATGACTAGGGTGTTTATTCTGAGATGCACATCATTATGGTTCGCGCTTAAGTCAACCCTAATACATTTGTATTTACAAAGACAGTCCAGCAGCAATCAAGGCACTGCTCTCTTAAATGTTTTTTTTTTTTTGAAGTGATATACTGCAGCAACTGGCCTGCAAAACAGAATAGTGCTTTGCTGGTCGCACTAGAATCAATAGCAATAAATCTGCGAACAATCTCGCAATGACTTTATCGTCCAGTGAGCTACGTGGGCCGAAATGATAATGTATAGTAAGAATGATGTATAACATAATAAGTGCATCGCATCTAATTCTCTGGTGTGATACTCTGTATGATTTTAAGACTAGAAAACAAGATCGCTAAAGTCTCGCTTCTCCGTAGAACATAGCTGACAATATTGTCAGGTAATGGCACAACCATAGCCGGCGTTGCGGCTTAGTGGAGGGAAGATGTTGAACCGAAGACAACCTTTTATACAAAAGGTTGTGGCGAATTCGCTCAGATTGGACTGAAGCTGAAATAATTCTATCCACGGTGACACACGTGAAGACCATGTTGTGAGTTTTGATTTTTCAGATAAAAGAGATAAAGGGAGTAGCAGATAGGTCAGCTAGACTTGGGAAATAAACTATTAAAGATGCCATATTGTATAGGACCGTGTAAACCAGAAAATCAACAAAAGAAATGCCAGCTCTAAAATAGGTAGCTTAAATGCATAATTTAATATATTTTATGCTCATTTCAATTTTTACAACGAAATATCTGGACTAATAGTAAATATGATTTATTGCTTATTATTGCAGATTATGTATGTAGAGGTTTCGAACAGTAGTGAATTACAACAACAAAAATTCTTTTTATATTATTTTAATTAATTGAATTTTTGGCTAATCATACAGCTGTCTCGAGTATTGCCAAATACCCATCATTTGTAGTTCTTTTACGATTATTAAATTATTAAATATTGACAGCTATTTTAACATTTAACATAACTTATTTTACATTTTAATAATGTGTAACATAAGAACTAAAGTTTATTTAAGATAATAACTATTAAGTTGTCTGTCTTGAAATTATTTCTTATATTTAATTAGTCGTAAATAATTTTTCGAAACTGCAAGTACCAGAGTTGGAATTTGTGCCCTGTCAAATTTGAAGCTCAGAGTCAGCGTTCATTAGCCAACTGACCCAAAGTCGTATTTGATTTATGTCAATTCCATACTATATTTATGTTTATATACGAGAACTGATAGGCTAACCAACACCACGTTATCGAATCTCAGAATGGTTACAGGCTCCTCGGTGAGGTATGCAAATTTGAGGTCAATGATTGCTTAGTCTGATGTAAAGATAAACAATAATGTATAAACATAATAAATTAATGAATATAATAAACATGATAATATTAATGTAGTGTTTTTAGTTTCTTAAGACAATTTTTTGTTTGGAAGTAATTGCTCACCTATGAAAAATTCTTTTGGATCCGAAAATATTAACCCAAGAGGAAGAGAATATTTTCAAATTTTTATTACCTCATTAACAAAAAACTTTAACATAATCAAGTAATTATAATTAAAGTGAGAAAAAATTAACAATAATACCCAAAATCTCGTCACTTAAGTGTGAAACTATAATTATCATTTACAATATCTAGTAGCTTCCGAGGAAAAAAGAATCATAGAGCAGCAAGCCATCAGTCACTTATCTTAAACACATGTGAATTAACATGGCAATCAACTCGTTAACGTTAAATTACCAAAAAAAAATTGAAAAAAATTGTAGTAAAAATATTAAAAATGATGAGTGTTTGAATATTTCATAACAAAAATGAAAAAACAAAAACCATATCATAATAAAAATATATCTAAAGGCTTTCGAACAATTCCAGTAGGCCAAGTTAACAAGTCTTTTGTTAGATACGCAGAAAAACAAGATAATAAAAGTGTTGAGCTGAACAAAACAATTTGATAGATAATATAACTAACCGAACCGAACCGAAGCGGACCGAACCGAACTGAATGAAGTACCAACAATGAAATGAAAAACAGTGAGTTTGCAGCGCAGCACACTTTTGGCATAATGACCCTGTATTTATAGCGCAACTACTCATAAATAATTACTTTATTACTTTTCGCAAATAAAATACAATAAAACAAATTCAGATGCAGTACGCAGGCTGGCCTTATATCAGGCGTGCACAAGCCCACAAACCCACACATACCGCAACATAGATACTCGTACCTTTGCGGTAATTGCGAAGATATTTTTATATCTGCACATATATTTTAATTATAGCATAAGAGCGACACTTTTCAACATTAAAATCTTTTTGTTTTGTCATAAAATTATAATTTAAATATACAATGAAGCGCATAGTTTCTGTCTGTATGTCTGTCTGTTTGTCTGTCTGTTTGTCGTGTGGGCTTGAAAAATGGGCGTTTCGGCATTTGTGCTTGAATTTTGTGTTTTGTGCTTATTTGTGTTATTTTTAAGGTATATGCAAAAGATTATTAAGTTTTCTTTTTACATCTGCAAAAGTATCTTTCAGATACTCTAAGTAGTGAAGAAAATAAAAGCTTGAAATTAATGTAAATTTCAACTTCAGAGAGACTCATAATCATATACATTTTACCTAACGAAAGTTTTAAGTACGATTAATCTTACTAAAAAATTAAAGAGAAGCAGACGAGTAAAATAATTATCAGCTGAAAAGTAAAATAATTAATTTTACTAACATTGTTATGTATAATCTTAGTTTGGTCTTTTTTTTATTAAAGTTAATCATAAAAAATTAATTTAACTATGAAGTTATTTTTTTATTTACGAGTCTTTAAGATGCAATTAAAATGACATTTGTTATAAATCACGACTCTGTAAAATAAAATTGCTTAATTCACTGCACACTAATTTCGATGTTTGCAATGCATATGTTGCTTAATAAATTTTATTACACATAATATATCCATTACTTTTAATAATATAATATAACAATTATATTATAAGTCTATGAGAGCTAAAGACCTAAAGTCATACTGGCACAACTTAACTCCCTATCTTAACATTTTAACGCAATGTAAACAAATTATTCGGGTCAATCCTATATGGGTACTTATGCTAACAGGCATATTACTTTCAATAGATCGGAACTCAGATTGGTCACTGGTTCCTTAACTAGGCATTGCTTTGGCTGTAGAATGTGTTTTTGTTATTTATCACCTAGCAAAAGTGACCTGAGAGAAGACTGATATGTGGAGATTCTGTAAAATACAGAATAATCTATACACAGTTCATCTATTCATATACTGCAATTGTTAGGAATTGGTGTTAATACTTCCATAATGCATTAATTTCAATAAACAAGGTCCAGTCTTTTGAAGCAAAGATTATTATTATGTTGAACGTCAGTCCGATTTTCTTCACACTAACCTAAGTCTAATGTTTCTAATCTCTCTCTACTCAATATCCCTACTTTAACGGGTTAGCTCTTAAGATATGGTATTTATTAGAGATGGTATAAAGGATTTCAAAAGTCGTGATGTCAATTCCTTTCAATTCCTTTTCATCTCAGTCCAGAAATGATTATACAAAAATTTTATAACCGTTGATAATAATATTTTAGAGCCGTAAAAAAAACTTCGTATAACATATTATAAGACTTGTATAAATATGGTAACTTTTACTATAAATCAGGACAAATCACATAATAGATTGGATCTTCGCAGAAATAAATAAATACGTTCACAATTTTTCTGGAGAAAAATAAAAATATGGCGATAATGATAAATTCAGTTCTATTAATTCACCATTAATTTTTCTTTTACAATTCTATCAATATCAACATTATTAATATTACTTGTTGCCATACGAAAAATATTTTATTTATCGAGGGAGGGTAACATAAGATCAGTTATATTTACACATTTTCGACTCGAGCGATTGTGAGTAAGAAAGTGTTCTGTCTTCAATGACTAAGAGAAAAGTGATTCACTTGTTCAAATTTTCTTATACATATAATCTATTTGAAGTTCAATGGGAGACAACCAAGATATAGTCCCATAGTAATTCACTTGGTGAAATATCTATGTAAAACGTATCAAAGTCCATTTTCACAATAATTGTATAGAATTAGTATGACATGAAAATATGACTGGTAAATAAGGTGAACTCTGGCAACTCCTTTCTGGAAAACTTTGATGTTCCAGTACTTATAAAATTAATACGTAGTAAGGAAAATAAATCAAGTGGATATCAATGATTAAGTTAAAGGATAAACTGCCTTGAAAAAGTTCTGTGATAACATATATCCCGGAATAGAATAAAAGAATCTTTAAGGTATGACATAAAAACAAAAACTCCTTGTAGATGTGTGTTTGTAAATAATAAATGTAGGAAACTATACAACTAATATATAATACATAATGAGAAGGAGAAAAATTAAAGTATGTATGTTTTTAGTACGTGCCTTAAAAAAATATGGATAGTTAGATATACATTCATCTACTATAATCGAACATAAACAATCAAACATTTTTATTAAAGTATCAGTCTTCAAAGAAAAAGTAAGATTCTCTAAGGATAATAAAATAACTGGAGCTACAATAAAAGTAAGGGTTTCGTAAATAAAAATGTATTTTTATTTAATGAACTAAAAATTTCTAGTCCATTAATTTTAAAACACGTGAGCTGCATTAAAGCACAGATTTTCTATCTAGTAAGCTGGGTTATAATAAATTTTATTTTCTTTATTACTTAAACAGTTGGTTTAAAATTATTTTTAATTTTTTTTATCGTTTAAATTTATTTTGTTAATCTTGTGAATCTAGAAGATATTTTGGATCTTATCTATTTCGCTAAAAATTCTTGTGAGATAAAATTTTGGAGAATGCAAAAATCAGTCCTTGAGTAAGTAAAGAGTCTTATATAGATATGTATTTATCTGTTAGATCTTATGGAAATATGTTAAGGCTTTCTTATTGTTTTACAACTTAACTCATTACTTGCATTCTTCAAGTTTTGAATACATATACATGATATAAATAATGATGGATAATTATTGTATTGTATTAAATCGAAATGCACTCGCAGCTATTAGCCATGTTTGCCTGTAACGTTAAATAATATAATTTTTTTTTATAATATAACATTTTAAAACACATTAATTCAGAGATATTTAGTAATATTTATATGAATGGGAGTTATATATTTTAAAGACCTCTCCTTTATTTTATTTCTTTTCTATATAAATTTCAAATAAAAACTTATTTAAATATTGGAGTGACAAACATGTCAGACGTTTATATCTCGATTTAACGAATCGTGGTAGCGGTTTTCATTCTAGAACAAGGACATTTGCATATATTATTTCTACCGTCAGCCAGTGTGTGTTATGATAATAGGCCCACTTTATAGTGAATAAAGAAGTCTATATCTATATCTCGTTTATATCTCGACTTTTCAAATCGGCGCAGCGGTTTTTATTCTAGAACAAGTATGTCTGCATATAGTATTTCTATAATCAGCCAGTATACTATAAAGCTTGTCTGTGTTATTATAATAGGTCTCATTTTGTAGCGGATAAAGGGGTATGTCCTCCATATATCTACATATTTATTATAACTATTAATATCTTGAAGTATACTATATAAACGTTTTGAATTTGCTTTCAATTACTTTCAATATAATATGGTTATAATTCATATCTCATTTTTAAAGAAAAAATATCTGTTATTTTTAATAAATAAATAAATTTATGGTGAATTATCCTATTAAACATTTTTATTACCATTTTTACCACATCACTATAAAATAATATTTGCAATTATTACAAAATATTTTATATTAAAAAGTATTTGCTTTGGTGAAAGTTGTATTAAGCGTTTCCAAATAAACATATGTATTTTTCTTTTTGTTTTTTTTGTATCGTTTAATTTGTGAAAATTTGAATATTTTCCGGGGGCGCGCCAATATTATTACACGCAGATATGCGCAGAAGAAATGCCGGAAAACATTTTCATATGCAGCATCCATGCCAAATGCGTTGATTGTCATTAATGCTATAAGATATATTTGAATGCATGTTTGATCCATTTCAATCCAATCGAATCCAATCTATGATTATTTTGATGGCGCCACAATGCTCCCCAGCAGTCAGATCTGTCGTATTTTGTTGCATAAAAGGCGTGCTTTATGGATTCAACTTTGACGACTCTTAATCGGAACGCAATCGCATTTTTATAAATGAGCTCAGTTTAAAATGCAGCTCCTCCGATTTTATCTGTTTTTCATTAAATATTTGCATATTATTTTGTTTTCAAATGCAAATGTATTCGAATGAGTGTAAATTGGTAGTTTCTATGCAAATGTTTTCTTAATTTCACGCTTAACATTAGTTATTTGTCACAAAATAACTCCTTTTTTTTATAAAAAATTGATTTGGTTTTAGATATTTATTTAATGAGGTTTGATAATAACACTCAACTGCTATTAAATAAAATAAAATTTTTTTTGTTGCGGTAAAATATAAAAGGGCGGGACATGAAATGTGAAGATACCGCAAGAAGAGTAGAGTGGAGATATTTCTGTTATTTAATAAAAATTTCAAAATATATTTAAATCATTTACAGTTAATTGAGCAGGTCTATAAAATATATTAAATCCACCTTAAAAATCAATTATGATGTGATTTACATAAATCAATAAAACAAAAATAGGTGTTTCCTTTTTTCAGTGATTTTGTTTAAGTATGTTCAATTTTTAAAGAAGAATACCATTATTTGGCCAAAGTTTGCTATAATACTGCAATAAATTATGCCTTGATAATTGTTGACTATTAATACTTGCTGAAACTTGCCAATAACAGTTAGAAAGCACTTCTATATTCCAAGTTAACTTGACCCACCTATAATAAAAATAGATCATCTTAACTCATCAAAAGAAACCGCGTGAACATTGCAAGACTTACTACAGTTCTTACTGGCTATTGGTGTGTAGAAACTCATGCAGAAAAACTGCGTATAATCTTCACTGCAGAAGTTGTGCAAGCTCGCAGGAGAAAGAAACCACAATACATTTTCTCTGTAAATTACCAGCTTTGGCGTCCAGAAGATATAGATTCTTAGAAAGACACTTCTTTGATAATTTAGCACACTGTTCATCAGTGAAGACGAAAAACCCATTAATTTACCTAAATTCGGCGGGATAAATTAGTTTCCACTATCCTATACTAAAGTTCTTGCAAAGAATGTTATCTAATGGTCTGCCACTGCAACCAACCAAACCAATATATAATTTTTTACAGATATTTCCAAAAAAAGAAATATGGGAAATGTCATGATGGTGGTCTCGATTCCGTAGTCTATATTAGACAGTGCAATATAGACAACGGAATTGAGAGCATGATGTTTAAATACAGATTTTTTTAATATTAATGTAGATCCTGATCCTGATGATATTGCACAGTGCAATATCGACAACGGAATCGAGAGCACGAAGTTTGTGTATAGATTTTATTAATATTAATTTATGTTAGATCCTGATTCTGATGTTATTGCACAGTGCTATATAGATAACGGAATCAAGAGCATGATATTTAGATACAGATTTTAATTTAATTAATTTATGTTAAATCGTGATCCTGATGATGAATCTCAAGGAGAGTCATAATAGAGAATATGTTATATTAAAAGATATTAAACAAACGTTTAATTTTAATTTAAACAAAAAGTGACCTATGGCCAGAGTAAAAATATATAAAAACCATTATTTTGAGAAATAAATTCAAAATGAAATACAAAAAAATTAATAAAAAATTTCACTTAAGGTGTAGAACATCTATAAATGATAAATTGAATATTTATAGGGGTGCCTTGTATCTTTTGACTTTTTCTTCTATTCGATATAGAAATTTAAATTTAATACTCTTTAATGGTCTTTTAAAGTTTTTATCAACTTTATTAATAATTTACTTAAGACTTAAATAATTATAAGTTATTCAATATGAGTATGAGTATTCAATTTTACTTCTCATTTACTAATCTTAAGTGAAATATATTGAAATCTTGAAGCGTGCAAAAATTTCTTAATTTGCTTTAGTTTTTCATCTGTTGTACTTACATTGAGCAACTTTTAAGGCAACTTTTTGTTGAAAATAATTACAATCAGATAAGTTTTAGTTATTGTCTGCAGCCACACTTAAGCCAACTTAACTGACGGGCCATATATCAAATATTTCACAAGTCGAGCAATTGCAGCAAACGATCTAATTAACTTTTCACAAATCAAAATTACAAAAGGCATATATCAAAGGATACAAATTAAATGTATAAAAAGAAACAAATCCCATAAGGCGCCCATATATCAAAAACTGAATTACTGACACAGATCTCAAGAAAAAAGTAATATTAATAAAAATATGTATAAACTAAAAAATGAAAAATCTTTGGTAAAGAAAATAATGCACCCATGCAATTTGCTTGGGCGGCTGAGAGATAAAATTGTTACAACAACAAAATTGAAAAATAAAATCGAAAAAATGTGCAACAATTGCAGTGATTTTCTACTAAAGATACTTTATGAAGTGGCAGCATATGACCACGCGCCACAATATGTCGAGCAAAACGTTGAATGATAACTGATACCTTGCCCCCTAGAAACTGAGCTGCAACAGACCAACAAAGCACGAAACTTTTTGCAAGCCAAAATAAAAAAGATAAATAATTTAGTAAAAGTCAAAAATAGTGCAAAATTTTTTTTATTGCCTTACAGATACAATGGAAGTAAGTTTCCAACAAACTGCCACGTTCGTTGCTACTGCAAACTAGGCGGTTTAATACATTGCAGAAGGCTTTTCGCCTCTTCGACGTCTATGTGCGACGTCTATAATGTAGTAACCTACTAAGAGTGCGAATGTTTTGGTTACAATGTCAGATCTATTTGTTTCATTTGGTTTTTATTTTTTTTTTTTTTTTTGGTTTGAGATTTTCCTTCAACTTTTGTAGACCAAAAACGCAGACTGGACTTGCCTTGTTAGATACACAAGGCGCAATGTAAATGTCTGTGGACTTCATTCAGTGAACGACTTCATGGTTTCGATCGTTTTGGATCGCTGTGAAAAATTGTTGAATCGAGTTAGCCTGAGCTGCAATTATTTGATGAATGCGTTTTAAATTGGTATTTTGGCTCAGTTTTAGAGCAAATCGTACAAGTCGCTGCACTTTCTGTTTTAAAAGGCAATATTTTTTGTGGTTCGTGTGTAGGGTGCAACGGCATACAAGTGCACGTATGATCACAACAATGTGATTGGCTTGGCTTTATCCGTACTGGTAAAGCAATCTTTAGTTGTGGGTATTTTTTTTTAAGTGGAACACGTGCTAAAGTCGTTTTATTGCCGAAAGGCTTTTTACAGCAAATTTATTATTTTCACTGTACTCCGTCGTATCTATGATTATTTGCATATGATAATTAATAAAATTTGCACAAATCTTTCATGGTATCTATACATATAATTTAATGTTAATTAACAATGTGATATAGATATATACAATACTATAACTGTGTAATTTGTAGCTCTTGAATTCAATTGAAGTAACTATTTTAAGCGTTCTATAGTGACTAGCCTTTTTTGTGATACTGGAATAATCATTAGATACATTATGTTCTGAACACATACAACAAGCTATTACCAAATCGAAATATGAGTTTACCAAACAGACAATTTTTTTATATAAATATGATTTTACTAATGAATTAATATTACATCTACAGATCTATACTGCTGATTTTATAATAGATTAATTTCAATTTAATTTCTTCATTTTAGTTACTTTGGTGTTTCACCTTCCTGGGAAGCGAATAACTCTAAGAGAACAGAGTTGTTCTATCAGCTTGTCAAGATAGTGGAATTGGCGCGTCTGTTGGAAAAACGTATTAACAGAATGGTTTATTTAGTCGAGTGCCTGTCTAAACGAAATGACAATCACATAAATAAGAAGTTAAGCTATCTTCTAACAATCCTTTTGCAGGTTAGAAAGTTTCACTTAACTAAAATCAGTGAAGTTTTTGACGCCAACGAAGACATCAAAAATAATGTAATGGCGTTTGTACTACGAACTCCTCCTCTGTCGGTAAAAAACTATAGACTTCAGCATTGAAGTCCTAACAAAGGTACTTGGATCTTCAGTTGGAATTGATTTCTGGGCACTTTCATCGATTCGAAATGCAGCTGTAAAATTTAATTAGTTATGCTATCTTCCCAAAGGTTGTTATAAGGATTGTGAATATTTTGGATATAAAATTTTGTGCTAGAATATAATATTTGTGTAAAAGATATCGTAAATATTTTTACAAATGTATTATGTTCTAGTAAATGGTAACTAAATTAATTGTTAAAATATATTGAAATAAACAATGTAATCAATATTTATAATTTTTTAATTTTTTATTTTGATTGCTAACAGCATATTTTATGAGTAGGTATATACTAACAACATATGAGCATATGACCATTATATACTTTAATGTAAAGTCTGATAAGATCACTATTAAGATGTTACACATTATTGAACAATTAATGATGTATTCGATGAGTTCTTAAAATATTTAGTAATACCAGGTAGGTAAAAATATAGAATTAACTTTATATAGCTGGAGTTACTGTCGGCTTGCATTATGGAACATCAAAGATTCAAACGCTATATACTACCATATATATCTTAAAAAACGGTTTTCAGAATCAAGGTAGACGCTCATGATATAGTATTAATAGTCAGGTATATAGTTTTATACGTGCTGAGTGATATTATGAAAGTGGCCACTAAACCAGATATATTGGCCTGATAATAAACACAGACAAAGCTGAGCTTTGTTTTTTACCATCTTTCGAGTGGCCAAGGTGAAGTGTTACCTGCTAAAGCTAACTTTAAAATGGATATAGCTAAATATTATACAGATTCTAAGCTGAATATGAAAATCAAATATTGAAAAACGGGTAAGGAAAGTTTTGACCAAGTATTGGTTTCCACTCCTGCATTTATGATGTGATAAAATAAGACATAAAAATCAGTGTTTGAATGTTAGCACTTTAATTGCAAGAGCGTGGATGCTTGAAAGTCAGACTGAAGGCCTTTAATTACGTTCTGCCTACTACATCACATAATCTACCAACACGAATTGACTTTGACCCCAATAATAATTTCAAAAATCAGTATCATACAAGCTCTCCATTGGAAAAAAAATGGAAAAAAGATTAACACAGTCAATTTGGCTTATCATAATTTCATTGACCGTTGAAATAGATGAAAGAACATGTTTTTACTTTGGGAGCTTATCTAATATCTTAAGTAGAAATCCATCAGAGACAGATCAACTGCTTTCAAAATAATATCCTTAAAATTAACACATTGCAATCTTCTCATTACCGGAGCTTCTGTACTCGCGATGGCGTACCATAGCACAAATCTGGTAAGATAATGCACAGTTCAACTGAAATCAGTGAGTAACCACTCCACACAATCATTTATCTGGGTTTCAGGGTACCAAGGAAGACTTGGGCAGATTATCAATGTTAACACTGTTTAGAACATTAAAAATTCAAAGACAGGAACACAGTTTTAAGGTCTTAATATTTATATCGAGATAAGTCTGTGAGAATATGGCTGGGACATATAGGATATACTCTGATCTTATAAGCTAAATTTTTTGAACTACAAACTATTATTAAACACTATTTTAGCTTTTGAAATGATTCGTTCAGTGAACTTAAGTAAACTTAAGTAAAAATTCGTTATTTTTTGAAAATGTGATGTTGTCAACTTCAGTAAAGCTCTTGACATCCTGTACTACAAAATTTACATTAAATAGAAAGTATTGCTTGACCAAATTACAATTTGAAAGGAATAAATTATAATACACGGATTCTATGTAATATGGTAGGTATTCCACAAATATTTCTTAAAAGTATCTTATTTAAAATTATTTAAGTAGTTATATTAATTCAAATCTTATGAAATTCACATTAGACACTGAAAGGGATTTTAAATTATTTCAATTAATTAAAAGGTCTTTGGAATTTGAAATATTTTCGTAACGGATTAAAAATAAAATATGTCTCTTTTACGAAATCCAAATTGGAGGCGGCGGCGGCTACTCGTTGTGGTTTGCTCGGGTTAAGTGGCTTCTGCGTTAACTGAGATAAATGTTGCAATGCCATAAAAACGCGATATCTTATTTTTGAGAAATGTGAAAAATAGGCTGCAGCAATAAGTAACTAATAGCATTAAAGTATAATAATTATTCAACGATTAATAGCGCATCATTAAAACTGTTTTATATAATACCACAAATAGACAGTCAGACCTTTTTATGGAACCTGCTTAGTTTTATTGGAGTTCACACAAACGAGGTTTTGTTTAGATTTCACAGAAAGTATCTGTCAAATCAATAATTTTTCAAAAACAAACAAGAGTTTGCAGTCACGAAAGAGGAAAACATGATTATGTTAATTAATTTAATTGTTTGTGTTTAAAACTGAAACTGAAATAAAAATTAATTAAAATAAATGAAAAGATATTTCAATGAAAGCACTGCTAAGTGGGAGATGTAACACCTTTAAAAATTGAATATTTTATGTAAATGCAAATCTATCTCGCTTTATATAACAAAATGGCAAATCGTTTGGGTTGAGATAAATGCACAGGTGTACGAAGAATGCAATATGAAATGATTAATTTCTTTTAATTAATAATTTAAATAGCAAATCAATCATATTCATTCAATAATGAAATTATAACATGAAAACTTACTTTGATTTCGCAATGCATTCGTCTTGTAAAATTCGAACAATAAAATAAAGAAGATTTACTTTGTAATCGCTTAATCGCTTCAAACATACCTGAAACAATAGAAAAAGATACACAAATGTTAGTTCAGATATGAAATTGAATATAAAAAATTTGTTCGAAATTAATAAAAAATTGTATGAATTGAAGGAAAACATGATTTTCGTGTCTGAATAATTTCAGAAATTGAAAACACACACCCTCGCTTTGGCCCAATTAAACTAAATATCAGCACGGCAGATGCATGTGGACGGAATGTAGCGTGACACACCTTTAACTAAAAATTTGAGATCTCAGCGCATTGAATTGATTTGACTGAAATTGAAATCTTTTTAATACGAACTTATATTTCTGTTAATGCTTAGCTCGAGATAAATTGCACACAATTTGACTAAAAGGCATTTTAAAAAGTTCAAATTATTTCTGCAAAGCAAATTGCCAGCATCCAAATGTACCAAGATTGTTTCCACAATTTGGCAGCGTTACGAAGCTACACAGCAATGGCAAATCAACAAAATCAAGTCAATCTGTTTTATTTCAGTTTTATTTCAGTTATTTGTGGATACATATTTTCATGGCAATAAACAATAGTCGACATTGAAAGCGTACAAATACCAAACAAGGATGGATTTGCTTCCAAACAGAGAACAACCGCGAATCACAGCGAATCACAGCGAAACTGTGAAATTTCTGTTATATTAATTTAAAAAAGATATATATTTTTGTTTTATTCTAAAGGTTATATAAAATTTAAATGTTGCATTATGCAAACAATCTTAAGACTTGCAACTCCTGCAGTATTGATTCTTAATTGTAAATGTTGACTTCTTTGAATGTTAAAGGTATTATTTTACCAATAAAAAATATCGAAACTGAAGTGTGGGGTCATTGAAACATAATCATCTTGCCAAAATAATTAATTTTCAATAATTAACTAAACATTTTTCATTTACCAGATATTATTTATTACAACAATTTTCAACATTTTTATTTGATATCATGTTTATGCTAAACAAAACCTGACCGCTTTTACCACAAGACAATCACCAACACGGCGAGATACATTTTACATTGTAGTTAAATTAATTGCATTGAACTTTGCTGGTATTAACACCACAGTACGAATATTGAGGGTTAAACCACATTAAACATTACTTAAAGACACAAAGCTGTGAAATTGACCGCCGGTCTATGATCAAGATTGGCTCAGGTTACATGCGATTTACTGGCAGGTATTTCACACCAAACTGGTTTCCAATCTCTAACTTTAATCTCAAATCAGATTAAACGGTTTGTGCACTCAAATCCATTGTACTTTCTGTGCCTAATGTCATATAATTGCAATTAAGTATTACTAATGCATGAATTTGTAGACATAAATATGATATTTATGATTCTTTTCATAACTTTGTTATTAAATTAAAAACTTTTTCGCAATTTCAATTAAATAATTAACTTCTATAAATATTTTTATTATAACGGCCGTGTGCGAGTTCGAGTAAATTGATGGTAAATTGAGGGAAATAGTGAATTATGTCGTTGTGGCAGCGAATGTTGGCATTTACCAGAATTTCGAGTAGGGTAAATTAGATAAAAATTTGGTAAATTAGGTGCTACCATTGTGAAAATTGTATAAGATAGATAAATATTTACATAAGTGCAGTGCAAAAAATCCTTTGGAAATTTCAATTTACTTTACCTCAATTTACTCGAACTCGCACACGGCCTACATAAGATTGAACTGAATTATATACAAGATTGTTTTGAGTTTTATAAAATAATATGTATTATTTTACAATTGTTGTTGTTTTTGAAATAAAGGAATTAACATTGATACTTCTAATACATCAAATGAAGCTAAAGGACATTATATATATGTCCTTAACCATAAAAATTATTCCTATAATCTAATATTTAATAATAATTATTATAATGATATTAATAATTACTGACCGTTTCACAAAATATAATAATGCGCATCTGCACGTCTAAATCAAATAAAAAGTAATTCCATTTAAGTTATATATGCCATTAGAAAAGCTATCTTCAAGCATGTGGAACTCAAAAATAAGCTTCTCAATTAAAAATAGTTCAAATGGATGGTTTATCAACACATTAAGATAATTTAATTCTACTTTTACTTTCGATTACTGAGATAAGGATTTCAGCACATTCATCTTCAGAATCGAACAGCTTCATTCCTTCATTATTTATACCTAGAGATGGTTTTAGTAAGTTACAGTATAGCTCAGTTGATCTTAATGTCTGCCATCTACTGAAAGAAATTCAACTTTATTCTCTTCTACATACTGATGATAAGCTTGTTATTTATTGGAGGAAGAATGGACGTACTTGATGACCCACAATATTAACAAATATTCTTTCGGATAGCTTTAACAGGACGTAAAATACTGATACTGTGGAAAAAAAAGCAATACATATTTTTTTTTTAAATTAAAGTCTTAACGAAGTTATATTTATTTTATAGCGATGGGTTCTGGAATGATAATATTTAATATAATATTAAAATGGACTTAAGAAAGTTAGTCCACAGGAAGA